CCTCCATTAGATGGGGCTGGGGAGCAAGAGGTGAGGTTTACCTATGATCTCCTGGATGTGGACAGGCTGGTCCAGCACTGCAGGTGGACCAGCCCCCGCGGAGCTCACTGCGGCCACACGCAGGAAGAACTTGTCTCCTAGAGCCAGGTTCCGCAAGATCTGCTGGGTCACCATCATGGGCCGGGCGTTCACAGGGACCCACTCTGAGGCTGCGAGGAACCGAGAACCTGTGAGATCTTGGGACATGGTCAGGGCCACCCTTTTCAATGGGGTGTCCCTTCTCAATGGTGGTCTGGGGACGTTGACCTCCCTCTCTGGGCTCATTTTCCAGTTGCTCCACTTTCCTGAATTCTTCATGTCCAGTGTGGCATCAAAAACATGGAGCGGGGGAGGGTTAGACCACTGGAATGGTGACCAGAGATGGGGTTGCTGAAGCCCAGTGAGGGGTAGACACCTTTACAAAGTCACACAGCAAGGTGGGGGCAGAAGTAGAGGCCCAGATGAGGGTGACTGATGTGGAGGGGTACGGAGGCAGCAGGAATGGAGCCCAACACTCCCCATTCTCTGTTTCTCCTCATCACCTCCCTCTCTGCACGGCACCTCTCTCCTCCCCAGAGCAGTGCTCTGTTCTGTTATTCAGAGGCTCCTTGGAGCTGAAAGGTGAGGCTCCTGAGGTCCCTGCCATCCCCCTGCCTTCAGAGGGCCCCAGTGCAGCTAGAAGTGGGGGCGGGTTAAGGAAACTACTACCTGTCCTCCTCCCTCCCATGCCCCCAGACTGGGACTGGAGGTGTCCCTGCTGCCCTCCTGGCCACTCATGTGGGGCGTCTGCTGGGCTGAGAACTTACTTCCCTCTCTGCAGGTCTCCACCACGTAGCCCTGGAGCCCCAGCCTCCCCAGCTTCTCCGGGGGCTCCCAGCTCACAGTCACAGAGCTGCTGCTCACATCCTCCACGGTCAGCAGCAGCGGTGCGCTGGGGACATCTGAAGAGAAGCCAGGATGAGATGAAGAGGTTCGTGGCCATAAGGCCCCCCGGCACGCCTGCTGCCCTCCTCCACCTGCCTGGCCTCGGCTCACCTTCGCTTGGGGGTGCAGGCTTAGTGACTGTGGGAGCTGTGGGGGCCAGTGCCTGAGAAGCAGGGTCCTGGGGCTCCTGGGGCTCCTCCGCCTGATCTTCTCCTTTGGACTCCGATGCTGCCACTTCTCCAGAAGGCTCTGTGATGGGAACACTGACAGACTCAGATGCCGTCTCCTCTGGACCAGAGGCAGTGGCCTCGGAGGTGGCCTCTCCTGTCATTGTTGGGCTGTAGAGGGTGAGGCTGGGGTGTGCAGGGGTCAGCAGTGGAGGGTCTGAGCCTCCAGGGTGTCTGGGACACCTAGGACCAGGCTTATATAGCCAGGGGCTGCCCCGCCCCCAGCCAACGATTCCCAGCTGTGGGGTCAGGTCAGGCAGGGGGTGGGGGGTGGGGAGGGGAGGTGCCCAGTCCAGGAATAGCTCTGGGGGAAGAACCACGGGGCCCCTTGAGGAGTGCACTACCTTGCCGTCACCCTGTTTGGACCTCACAGGGTGCTAGTGCTTGGCTAGGAGCAGGCACAGATAGGTGAGCTGGGACACCATTAGGACCAGTGCCCAGGTTTGGGGCAACGGGAGACAGCTGCTGTTTAGAGAAGGAAGTCTGGTCAGCTCTGGGAGTCTGGCTTCCGTGAGCCACTTAGATGCAGGTCTTTTCAGACCGGGGTCTGGGGCCCAGACAGCCTGCTCCAGCCTCCCTGGTGAGCACTCACTCCTGGCTTTGCCCCTGGGGTCCTCTCTGCCCTGGGAACTCTCCCTTGTGCTATGTGAGGTCAGGGCCCTACCTAGGCAGGGAGTTGAGATGCTCAAGACGGAGCTGGCCAGAGAAGGTCCTCCAGCATTGGGACTCCAGGAAGAAGAACTGTCCCTGTCTATTTTCTTGTGCTCTAACAGAATATCACAGAGGGGTAAATTATGGATAGATGTTTATCTGCTCACAGTTCTGCAGGCTGGGAAGTCCAAGAGCATGGCACCCACATTGGTGAGGGGCTTTATGCTGTCATCACGGGGCAGGTGGGCAAGCGAGACAGTGAGAGGAACTTGGCTGAACCCATCCTTTTTATCAGGGACCCATTTTGAGATAACTAACCTGCTCCCACAATAATGACATTAATCCATGGGTGAGGGCAGTGCCCTGGTGGCCTGATCTCCCCACCTCTCATAAAGACCCCTCCACTTATACTGTGACAATGGCGGTTGAATCTCAATGTGAGTTTGGGGGAGGCATTCAAACTGTAGCAGGGACTAAGCCCTTCAGTTCCTGTCTCTGCTGGGAGGTTGATACAGATCCGCCTTCCCTCCCTGCCTGGGGCTTCCGTTTTCCATGACCAAGTTGGGTGTGGGATGAAGTTGTGGGCAGACTCAAAGGAACCCTTCTGGAGGGCATCTCCGAAACTTCCAGCCTCTCAGAACAGTACGTGGGCATGGACCTGCCCAGTGTGGGAAATGATGAAGGTATGGCCCAATTCCTAGTCACTCACTGAATAAAATGTTGGTAATAATTTAAATGCCGTGTGCAGGAGCGGGAAATAGTGACTTCCATTGCTGCAGGTGGGATAGTTGGGAGCAACTTTGGGAAGAGTGGCACAGAACCTGGAGATATGAACAAAGCGCCTGCTCAGTGACCCTGATGTTCCACTCCTGGAAACACTCACCCGGGAGGCCAGGGAGGCCCGGATGAGAATGTTCACAGCAGTATTACTTGTACTAGCCCAAATCTGGGGTGGGGGTGGGGGACAGCTCTCCTTCAGCAGTGGGACAGATAAACCACTGGAGAACATTTATGCAATTCAAAAGCAAAATCCGGAATAAAATGAACAAACTTCAGTCTCAGACAACACCATGGCTGCTCTCACAGACCTAATGGTGAGGAAGGGAGCCAGGCACACAGAAATGGGGCCATCTCAAATGCTCTAAATCCAAACACAGGCCACACCAAGCTACTTCTTCAAGGTGCACCCATAGGTGGTAAAGCATGCAGGAAAGCAGAACACAGTTAGCATGGAAGTCCAGGTAGTGGGTCAGGGTTGCATGTGATTGGGAAGGTCCTGGGGTGCCATCAAGGTTTCATTTCCTGCCCTTGGTAGTGGTTACGGGAGTTTTCATAGTTTTCATGCATAGTGACTGTAAATTAAACAAATACATTTATACACTGTTTACTGTGTATGATGTATCCCACAATTTAAAAATAAGCAAGCATGTTATTTTTTGAGGGCCCTCATCAACATGCAGACTGTACCCCTTCCTCAGAACAGGGGGCATTAGAGTGTGGCCGCCTCTCAGCCCTGGCTGTCCTTGTGGGGAGTGGAAGTGGAGAACCCAGGGTGCCTTGGATGCAGTCCTGTCTGGGTGCTCATGTCCTCTGCCAGTTGATTCAGTGTCCTTCTGGGCAGGGAGCAGGCCCTGGAGACCCGATCTCCATCCTTGGCCTCTGACTGTGCAGCTATAAGCGAATGTGACTAACCCTGCAGGACCCTGAGTCAGCCCTGCCGAGCCGTCCCAAGCTGGGGGGAGGGTTGCCCTTGGGGCTGCTGTGTGGCTGCCCAGAGAGCCCCTCAGCCCTGGGGTTTCAAATACCTTTGTGTGACAGGGCAAGCAGTGGCAGGGTTGAGGGAATGCTTGGCCACTGGCCAGCCCTGAAATGCTAGGTACCCCCTAAGGCTCTGGCCAAGTTCTTTGCCTTTAGCAGAGCTGTGACCTTGGAATCAGCTGCATCTGCCCTGCTCTGCTTGGTTCGGATTTCAGGGCCACAGATAAGTATTTTCTTCCCTACACCTGAAATCAGAGTCACAAACCATCAGGCCAACTCGTGATTATCCCAAGTCACAGATAATCCAAACATGAGGAAATCCATGAATAAATTCTCTTTAGTTTTGGAGGATGTATCTGGACTCTCTTTGGATAAAGTCATTCCAGGGCCCTGGAAATTCACAGAAGGCTGGTGAGGGCATCTCCCCCTCGTAAAGCATGGGAAACTGGCTGCTCTTCTGGGTATCTGATTCCCTCAGCCTCCACTGGCACCACGGCCCCAGACCAGCTAGGCAGAGGTCAAGGGATGAGTGTGAGAGGAGGGACTGCAAGGACCCTGGGCTACAGACAAGGTCATCCTTTGGACAGACACGGCTTTCAGCGCAGCAGTGCCCCTGGGTTACTGACATGCAGGTCACTGAGAATGTCAGAGGCTAAAGGCCATCCTTCAAAGCCCTGCAGAGAGAGGCTCCTGCCCTGGAAGGCAGGGAAGGTACATGAGAGGACACGTGTGTTTCCTTCTGGCGCTGAGGGTCTAGGGTTCAGGGCTCTCCAACCCCATCCTATGATGGGATCCTACCACCTTCCCGGGAGCCAGGAGAGATGAAAAGCTGGGATTAAAAGCATTCCTTCCTGGTGTCTGCTAGTCTTCAGGAAACAAAAATGGTTTCTTTCAACAGAAACTTAATTTGGAAGTCTGGATGGCAATGGCTTTCGTATCTGAAAAGCCATCAGCCACGCTTGGGTGAAGTCCAAGGCAGGAGAATCTAAGGAAGCTACCTTCCGCTGGGGTTTCCTGCATCCTGGTGGTGAGGACGTGGTAGCTTCATCTCTGCAAACTCAGGGCTCCCAAGCCTCAGGGAGAGGAATCCAGAAAAGATAGGGGGAAGTGAGCGCGATGGTCCAAGGTGCCACCAAGACAGACCAAGCAAGTGCGATGCACCGCTAAGCTCTTGTACTTTACTGAGCAGCTGTGGGATTAGGAAAGGGAAATGGCATAGGAGATACGATTATGGATTATGTTCCTAAACGAAGGTTTCAAATTGAGCTTTGCAGAGGGTATAATTAGTATGGTAACTGACTCTTAGGATGTTTGGCTACTTGGTGCTAGAGCTTGCCAAAATGGTGTCCTTTCATTAGGAGGGTCGGGGGTAAGCAAGTTGAAGAATTCCCCTTGCCAGGCTTGGGGGTCTATGAGCAGTTTTATTCATCAGCAGGTATGAATTGATACTGGGTCTGACATTGTGCTGGTTCCTAGACCCTCACTGACCCCACAGCCCCATCTCTGGTGTTGCCCGTGGCGCAGGCTGTGGGGAAGAAGACGGAGGCTCAGATGGGAGATCAGCAGTACAGGTGCTCAGGCTCCCGGCCAGCTGGAGTCAGAGGGTGTGGGGCGTCCTTGGACCCCACGGTATACAGAAAGACAGGGCTAAGCGGCTGAGAGTGCATCCTTGATGGCATTGATGAGAGGGAAGGGTAGATTCTGGCCACAGAAGGAGCCCCGGAAGTCATCCAAATCCAGGGCCCACACCGCGGCACCCGCCAGTTGCTTCTGTTTCAGGTACTGCACCTGGGGAGGGAGGTCCAGAGGGGGAAGGGTTGGGTTCTCCAGGGCAGAGTGCGTATGGGGATACCAGGTACCTGAGACTGACCCCCCACCAGCAGCCCAGACCTCAGGGCAGGAGGCTGACTCTGGCTGCTTGGAGCAGGTCCCCCCTCCCTCTTTGTCCTGGGGGGGTGGCCCGGTGAACTTACCTTGCTTCTGACGCTCTCCTGGTCATCGTATCCCACCCATTGGTTGCCCTTGGTGGCGTAGGGAACCAGCTGGCTGGGAATTCTATGGACTGTGGCTCCGTGGAGGAATTCACAGATCTGAGCAGAGAATAGGACATGGGTAGAACAGGGAGACTTTGCAGGACACCAGGAGAAGTCACTCCCCAAGTCTCTGTCAGCCCCTCATTTCATCTTGCAGCCTCATTCTCAGGGGCTTTTCGAGCTGTAGGCTTCATGCAAATTTATGTAAAACAGATGCAAATGTCCCCCCCAGTTCAGCTGCCATAGTCTGAGGGCTTTAAGGGATTCTGATTGGCTCCTCCATCTTTTTATTTTTTGGAGATTGAACCCGAACCCAAGGGTACCCTAGCACTGGGCCACATCCCCATCTCTTTTTATTTTATTTTGAGACAAGTTTGTGCCCATCGCCCAGGCTGGCCTTGAACTTGCCATCTCCTGCCTCAGCCTCCCAAGTAGCTGGTATTATAAGCATGTGCCATCGTTTGCCTTCTCCATCTGAAACAGGGATTTGAGAAGGCGTGGGTGGACACCGAGTACTAGCCCCTGGCCACAAGAACATCAGATGCTAGACTGGAGACCCTGCCTCTTAGCCATTGCACTTTGCTGGGCTGGAAGGAAGACCCCAGCTCTGTAGCCAAAGGAATGTTCCAGGGGTTGGTGGTGCAGACTCATGCCTGCTGGAGACTTTGGTAGCAACAGGCCTGACTTGTCTCTTCCTCCTCCTCAGGGATGTGAGGTCAGCTGGATCTGATTTTATTCCCAAATGAGAGAAAAAGTGGGGGTGGGGTGGAAGGACCCCCCTCCCCCATGGCTGTAGATAGCTTTGGGACAATCTTAGCTTCTCCCCCAATTCTATTACCTCATAGTAGGCGAGGAACCCTTCTTCCTTGGTGAATCGGCCTGGTATTCCCGGCCCTGAGATGGGGGCTCCAACACCCGTCTCGGAAGAGGACAGAGTGAAACTCCTCCCAAAGATGGGAATGCTCATCACCAGCTTGTCGGCTGGGGCCTGCCTCAGCATGTACCCCACAGCATAGTCCTGGGTGGGGATAGAGCGGGGACAGGAGGAGCAGTTAGCTGGGCTGGTGGCGCAGGGATCTGAAAGGGTTACAGTGAACACTGCACTGCGACAGGCAAGGTTGCGGTGGCACGGTGCGTCTGGGATTCCCCATTCCTCTGGGAACTGATCATGTCAGTTTAAAACGAATTTTAAAGTTCCATTCTTGAAAAGCTCCCTTTACACATAGGAAGGGATCATTATTATTTGACAGATGCAGAAATCAGGTGCCTGGCTCAGACTGCACAGCTAGCAAATGGCAACTTGAAGACAGACACCCACCTCCTAGCCTCTAGCCTCTCTCTATTCTGCACCTGCCTTCACTCAGTCCACCCCACAGCCATGAGGATGAAGGATTTGGGCCTCAGGGTTCTCATCTATAAAATGGGTCTTATAACCCCTGCCTTGTGGGATTCTACTGAAGATTGGAGGGGTTGGTGTGTGAGCCCTGGCAGGTGGCAGGACTTTGTGACCCCCTCCTTCCCTCCTTCTGGGTACCCACAGTGTTGCTGTATCTGTAAGAACGGGTATCCTTCTGGCCTCGAAACAGTGGGCTGTGATGTCCTGTGGACCCGCGCCAGGCTCCATGGAAATCGTAGGTCAGGGTGCTAATGAAATCCAGGTGTCTAGAAGGAAGGGGATGGAGGGTGAGGTGGGAAATTAGAAAAGCTCTTGGCCTCACATCCAAAGCCCCAGCAGGATGTGATCGGGGAAGCAGGCAATTGACAGACAGACCATTAACCCAAAGCCCAGGAGTTCCTGGTGACCACTGTCCTGGCTGCTGGCCCACCTCCCCTGGGCCATGCCAAGGTGTGAGCTCAGGGTCCCAGGAGTGTACTCAGGGCCAGAACAGTCCTCTCTGTTACCTCCCGCCCCAGCACATGGCTGGCCTCTATCTCACCCCAGCCTCTGCTCTCCTGCCAGGCTCACGTGGGTGAAGCAGGGAAAGAGCCCAGTGGGGAAAGAAAGAGGCCCCACCCAAGGAGCCCTGGAGGGAGGAGGAAGTCCCCTGCAGGCATGCTGGTGAGGGAACTGTAAGTGGATGACAAGAATATGAGCTTCAGAAATTTGGGACAAATTGTTGAAAGCCACCTCTTTCCCACCAAGTGATCACTTGAGACACCAAGTCTACACTTGTAAGATTCTAAGGGAGATTCTAAAAGTGGCTGGAGAGTCACTTTTCTTTCCTGCTGGGTTTGCCACTATCCTGCCTGGGCTCTGGGGAGAGATCGCGCGAGGCTTCCTATGCGGACAGGATGGAGGGGCGGCAACAGGAAAGGGGGCCGCCTGTGTGCACAGGCACGGGGGTACCTGGAGACTCCCAGCATTCTAGAAACAGGGTATTGCTGCTGCAGGGCCTCCTCCCCCAGGCCCAGCACCCTGCTCTGCTGGCCACGGGAAAATACTCTGTAATGGTTGGTGGCTTTGTATATTTTTTCCTATTGCCTTTCCCAAATACACCTAGAGAAATGCTCTCAACTGGTTAGCAACATGCCAAGTGAAAAAAGAAGGTCAGAACTCATGTTCCATTTGACAGATGGGGACATTGAAGCACAGGGTGGGAAGGTGACTGGCTCAAGTTCACATATCCAGATTTGGAAAGAACTGGGTCTAGAAGCCTGGTCTCCTGGGTCTTCATTGAATTCTAGGGTAGAGGAAGGAGTGGTGTGGGCAGAGGCCTCTGGGGGCTGGCTGGGCAGGAGACTCACTGGGATATCTGGTTGATGTCATAGCCGCTGTCAATGTCAATCTTCCCCGGGGACACAGCTGCGCTGAGCAGGAGCTCTTGTGCTCCGGACTGGGCTTCCTTTGCAAATTCGGCCTTCAACTCCTGGATGGGAGATGGGTGGGTGAGTGAAAGAGACCCAGGCGGCAGGAGGGGGAGACTTGTGGAGGGACGCCAAGCTCTCTCGGCACCTCATGGACCTTCCCTATCTGCTGGGACCACCTATCTGGCTAAGAGGCCCATCATGGGGCCACCCATCTTTTTTCTAAAAAACTGGACCAATCTCATCCTCAAACCCCATGCCCACCCAACAACACTCCATCACTGCCTGTCCTGGGGGGACCATCAGAACAGTGGGTGATGTGGTTGGCAGGCGTGTTTGCCTTTCAGTCTGTGCTTTGTTTTAGCCGGTCTGTGAGATCCTAGGATCAGGTGGTGTGGACCATCGCTCTGCCCCTGGGAACTGGAGATGCTTGGGCTGCCCCAGGTGGAGCTGAGTGCCCCTGGCTGCAGTGAATGCTGGGTAGTGGGGGGCATCCGTTTGGGACTGAACCATGGACAATGGATGCTCCATGTTCACTGACAGTGGCAGTGAGGGGTGGAGACCCTGCTCAGTCATGGCCTTCTGCCTCTTAGGACCCCACGCCCACCTCCCACTGGGGTCACAAAGTGTCTTGCTTATTCTCTAAGAGTTCCAGGGCTCAGAGGCCTTGGATCCTAGCCAGGAGGCTGAAGTCCCCCTGCCTGTCCTCAGGAGATCCTCTGTGGTGGACGGAACGGACCCACCCCTGACACCCCCCCCCGCCCCCGGCCAACCTGACCAGGACCTTGATTAGGGTGGTGTGAAGCTGCTTGTTTCTTCGTCCGGGGGACAGCCAGGCTATGTCCAGCCCATCAAAGCCATGCTCCCGCAGAAATGGCGGCACTGACTTGATGAAAGTGCGGCGCTTCTCCACGTTAGAGGCTATTTCCGAAAATCTGGGACGAAATTCACCCCCCCCAACCGTGTGTTCTCAGCATGAATAGGTCAAGTGCTCCCGGTTTCTACTGGGGCTCCTGGGGCCTGGGGAGCAGGGAGCCTGGACTGACGCAGCCCTAGGAGGGCCTGGCTGGGACAGTGTGCACCTCCAGCATTAGAAAGAGCCAGGCGCCCCTGGTTTCCAAGCCACTTACTCACCAGCCACTTCAGACAGGGCACAGCCCAAGTCTCAGTTTCCCCATCTATAAAATGGGATCATTATAATACCTCCTGGTGCTGTCATGAGGGTCACATGTGACGGAGGTGGGAAAGGGTACCTGACCCCGTGAGCATTAGGTTCCTTCCAGGCCTCGTGGCAGTAGCCCCCAGAAGTTCTTTGCTTTCAGGTCAGAAAGGTAATAAAAAGAGGTAGGGAACCAGGAGGTATACTGTGAACATGCTGTGTGACTTCTGGTAAGTCCCTCTCTCTAGACTCTGGTTTCTTGGCTATACATGAGGCAGGTCCCTGACAACAATTTAGGCCTCTCTGCCTAACCCGTCTGGGGCCACTGTACCCTCCCCCCCATAGTGGGTGGAGAGAGCCAGGCCTCCCCACTCCCATCCCTTCCTCATGCTCCAGTAGTAGGTCCTACCTTTGAGAGCCAAAGTTCCATCCTCCAACAGACAGAAGGGTCTTCAGTTTGGGGTTCCTGTGGGGCAAAGAGGAGGGATGATGGTGTGGAGTGAAATCTTGGTGACACTGAGGATCTCTGTGTCTCTATCTTTGAGTGAGGGGCTGCACTGGGCCTCTGATGACCTCCTGCCCCTGAGACTCAATATTCTTTTATGTTTTGTTTTTTGGTACCAGGGATTGAGCCCAGGGGCATTTAATCACTGATCCACATCCCCAGTCCTATTTAAAAATATTATTTAGAGATAGGGTCTCACTGAGTTGCTTAGGGCCTTGCTAAATTGCTGAGGCTGGCTTTGAACTTGTGATCCTCCTGCATCAGCCTCCCAAGATGCAGGGATTATAGGCTAGAGGTCATAGACTTGGTGGCCATTACTCTGAGATAATGCTGTCCCTTCTCGTTGCCCCTGATGGAGAAGCCAGAGAATGGCCAAGTAGGGTCACAAGCACTTTCCAAGCTCCCTGGATAGGCACCCCTAGGGGAGAGAGAGAAGGCCCCTTTCCCAGGGGAGCTACAGTCTGCCCGTCATCACCCAAATACTGCCCAACCCCACTTCACACCTCCGCTCACTGAAGCTGAGGACCCTTTGCTCTCCATCCAGAGGTGGTCCTGGGGGCCTTCACCATTCTCTTGAGCAGAGTAGCCCTACCCTGGAGCCAGCCGGCTACTCCCCCATCTTCCTCCTGCCCTGGCCAACCTGATTTTGAGTGCGTTCAACATGCCATAGAGTGTCTCGTCGTTCCATTCGAAGATGTCAATCTCATTGTTGCTTATGTTGGCAAAGCTGTAGATGATGTGGGTGCAGAGGGAGGGGCCAATGGCATCTGGGAAGCAGCTCCCGTCACCTTCCCGGTACTGGGACCAGTTCGTGTAGTAGCAGACCAGTTTGTATGCAAAGCCTGAAGGAGAAATCTAGGGTGGGACCTGGGCCGGGATTTAGCCAGAGACACTCCCGTTGAGCTCAGAGTTGAGCACCAATGGGGCGTGGGAATGGGTGGGGGGAATGGGCCAGAATCCTGAGCAGAATGAAAATTCTGACATAAAAGAGCTGGTGCACGCCCCTGCCTCTGGGGGGTTCCCTATGTGATAAAAACGAGGCCCGTTTTGAAGGCACTTGGAACAGGTCAAGTGCAGCACAAGACCACACTGCAGGCAGAAACAGGCCACGTGGAGGTCAAGGTGAAATGGGCCTCCTGTGCAGTGCAGGTCCAGGCTTCCTGGAAGCAGTGGCCTTGAGGGAGGGCAGGGACCCGGCTCAAGACAGCCAGTGTCAGAAGACACCCTGGCCTTCCTGCCAGGACCCTCCATGAGTCTTTAATGCCAAAGGGGCTCTGACTGTCTCTTCTCTCTGTCCAGATGGAAGTGTCCCTAATTGTAACCCACCCAGAAGGGCGGTCCCCAAACTGGTGTACAATATCACAATGTCCTCTCATTCTAATGACCCCTACAGCAAATGATGTCCTTTCTGGCCACTTGGTTATGGAAGACAGTGGGCATCGCTTGTCCACGTGGTCCCTGGGCCCCTGACAGTGGTGGGTCCCTCTGTCTCCTAATCACTGAACGTGAGCTTTTTAAAGTTTGTTGTTTTGAAAAAGTTCAAATCTATTGAAGAGTAAATAGTACATATCCATAACCCCAGCCCCTTGGTTTAACGAATGCAAATAGTTCTAAGCCTTTGGGGTCACTGAAGAAACTGCAAGAATGTTCTCTGGCCCAAGACCTCCTTCTCATGGGTGCTACACCTTCACCAAATGCTAGGACACAAGGTAGGGGTGGGGTGGGGGCGGGGTACTTACAGCACTGCAGCAGCACCAGGACCGCAAAGCCTGAAGGGAAATTCAGGGTCAGACTCCCTGCAAGTACATCTGAACCTTCCTCCTGCCCCCTCCCCAGACAACCAAGGCCCTACCATGAGCCTCCACACTCGATCCCCACCCCCCCACACCCCGGCTCTGCTTTGTCCCTGCTGGTCTCCCCCACCCCAGAGACAGGAGGCTGGGACCCTGTGCAATGGCTCTGTGGGGTGTCTGGGCCCTCCCACCTGAAAACCCACAATCCCCACTTGATCCAATCCCCCTTGGCTGGACCAGAGACCTGTCTGAACCACCCTCAGACCCATCCTGGCTGCAGCAGAGTAGGACAGGGGTGGCCTCTTCCCAGTGCTCAGCAGCTCCTGGTGCCCAGCTGCCCAGACAGAGCCTCTTTCCCAGGATTCACACTTCCTATTTATACTGGTCCTACTCTACTCCCCACACCCCCAAACCATCCCCTTTACAGGAACTAAGCTTGTATCAATGACGGAAGCATCAGGCTCGTGAGTGGGGGTGGGGGAGCCTGCCCGCTACTAGAGGAAGATTGAGAAACTGTGGACTTTTGAAAACTTTGCACCAGTTCTTCAAGATGCACCTGCCAACAGAAGAGCCACCCTGGAGATGACTGGGGGTTCCCAGGGTGTGACTCAGCTGCCTTTCCAAAGCCTGCTTCCTGTTATCCTGCCACAACTCGCTTCTTTCCAGCAGTTTCCGGGCTCTTCTGGCAGCTTCTACCTCTGACCAGGCCCTTGGCCAGGTTGAAACAGGGCACAACTGCATTGTGTGAGCCTCAGCAGCAGAACAAGACTGTGTTATCACCTTGCCTGACCTCCCCCCTCAAACTTTCTGTCTCCTGGCTGTACCCACAGCTGACCCAAGTCTAGGCCAAGGCCAGAAAGCCTTGAGGGTAGGTGGGGAGGGGGTCCCCCACCTCTTCCTTTTAAGCAATTTATATGCTGTTTGTTGAATGGGGGAGCCAGGAGAAAAGAGAGACATTTCTGAGAATGCTCTGAGCCCTGACACTAATTTTTTTTTTTTCCCTTTCTGAAATGCCAACAGTGATGTCTGCCAAGGGCCTTTGTAAGCCTGCGGGAAGTACTGTGGAGTAAGCACGGGAGTAACTGTGGGCCACTCGTGATGTCCCCCAGGAGCAGCGGCTCAGAGACTCTCAGAGAATCAATAATCTCTGCTCCTCTCTCAGTGATGCTTTTGAAATCCCAGCCCAGTGAGGCGGCTCCTCTCTAAATCCTTCAGTGACTTCCCATCACTTTCAGCAAAAGAACAAGTGTAGCTGGGTAGTCAGATGCTGTGTTAGCATGCCCCAGGGCCTGATTTCCACACTCGAGCCACCCAGAACAAAACAGAACAGAACCACAACACTCACTGCTTAGTGAGGCTCTGCATGGTTCAGCCACTGTTTTTTGGTCAAAGATGCAAGACAACTGCACTCTTTGCAGACTAGAACTTAGTTAATAGGCAGCCAGTGGAGAAAAGTTCAGAATTCTAGGAGTCAGAATGGGTCCGAGAGCTTCCCAACCCAGTCCTTCTATTTTTACCATACCTTTAGGTAACTGTCAAATGCCATCCACTTGGCCCCGCAGCCTCCCGGGGAGAGGCCTCTCCCCATCCCTGCCTCTCGTTTCTCTTCCTTGGAAACTCCAACAGCCCCTCCCGTTTGCTGTTGAGTCCATTAGCAGTGGATGTTCTGCATGGTACTTGGTGAGTACTAAAAAGTCACCACCTCTTCCTCTAAGGTGACTGGCTTCTTTTGTACTGATGATTGACAGCAATGACAGACCATGAGAACTTTTCCCTGTTCTTTTGGAAGCACGGACGCGGGGACTTCCTTGCATCTCTGATGGAGATAGTATACAGCAGACTGGGCAGGCAGACATTTCCCCCACAGAGGATAGGATGTGAAAAGAGCATCTTCTACCATTACTCTCTGCTTTTGTTAAAAATCATCTCATATGTTCCACTGGCCATTCCTGTTGTCCTGTGGGCCTTCGGGCTCAGTTTGTTGATTCCACATTCTCCATGGAAATAGCATTGTCACAACCAAGAGTCCAGACACTCCTTGGCCTGCCGCAGCAGGACTGGCCAAGGGTCCCATAGTATATCACCTGCTACTTCATCTCAAGCCATGCTCCCCCAACCCCTGTACTCCTCCAAGCATGGCTCCTTCTCAAGCCGTGTGCTTTTTCTTCTTTCTCCCACCACAAGGCCTTTGTGTATACCACCAACTTGCCTGTGCATAACTATGAAGGGCCTGAGATTTTATGCTCTTGCAAATTAATGAAATAGGCAGCCACAGTTTTATGAATGCTGACAGATTCTGCTCCAGGGACAAAGGACTTTTTAATCCTTTGGCAGAGCAAGCAGATGAACTTCATGTTTGGGCCACTTGCCCTTGGCCCCCAAGTCCCACGAGCGTGACGCTGGAGCAGCCGGGAGGATGCTGTGCTTGCAGCGGTTCCGTGACAGCAGAGGGACCCATAGTTTAAGGAACTTAGATCTACAGCGAGCAGGAAGCCTGCCTCACCTTGACTTTGGAAAGAGATATTATCTTTATTATTCTAGACAGGAAACAACTCCAGAGGGAGATACTGTTTCCATCTCCAAGGCTGTTTGCTCTGCAGACATCATTGAGAAGAGCTTGCTCGGCAGACAGTGCCCTGTGGGGGACACCTGCACTAATGCAGGCAGCCCTGGAGATGCCCCCAGTACCTGCCCTTCTTCAGCCAGTTTATCCTCTTCATCCTTCAGACTGAAGCTTGGCCACTCCTCCGGAGAGGGTGGACTCCCCTGGAGCTGTCAGATGCTTCCTGCCTCGATCACTAATACCCAGCCCAGCCCAGCCCAGCTCTAATCATACCCCCACCCCATTTTTTTTTTTTTGGTGTGTGTGTGGCAGGAGGAATAGAAAAAATCTTGGGCAGGAAGAGACTGTCATGGAAGAATTCAAGAGAGGTTGAGACGCCAAGCTTGGGGCACGGTGCTTGATGCAGGATCAGGAAGGAACTTGTAGGTGGACATTGCCACCCCTCACAGGACATGTTCCCGGGACCCCTGACATGGCTTCCCAGGCATAATCATTTTGAGGCTCTCTTCCTCTTGTAAGGGGTGTCATTGCAAACAGGTAGAGTTAATGCTCCCCCAAATACCTGAGCAGGGAGGTCTCTTTTCTGCATGGAGTTCTCTCCTTCCAAGTGGGGAGTAGCTGCCAAGTAGGAATTGAAATTCATTTCTAAGTCCTCAGCTCCATCTTGGTGTCGGCCCAGAGTAGATGCTGTCACAGACTCAGAGGCAGAAATATTTGGATGAGAAAACAATGATTTAGGAAGGGTGAAGGGGAGTGACATTTCCTGAAGACAGGCTCATCAAAAGCAGAACAGCAAATACTTAGAGGGAAAAAAATGATGACCAAGGTTACCTTGCTCATAGCGGAAATCTGTAGCCTTCTTATGTGTTCCTTATAGTCAGCCAGCGTGGCAAAAATCAGGATAAAACCGTTTTTGTCAATGACTCCATACTTATAAGAAATAGTCAAGGCTTGTGATTTTGGAGTCCATACCCCACCTAACAGCCTAACCTGTTATTTTTGGGTTTTCTCCAGTTTCGGGTTGTCCCACCTCCTCCCTGCAGTGGTTCTTAGTCATGAGTGAAAGAGACCAAAGTGTCAGGTTTTGCTTTTACTAATCCCTCTTCCCGGTGGGCAAATTCTTGTCTTTGATTCATGGATTTGACCATGTAAGTTGCTTAACAATTTTCTGACTCAGTTCTATCCAATTGATATTTTTGTTTGTTTGGCCAAGATTTATTTCAATTGGCATAAATGTATTGTCCATTCATATGTAAATATTTTCTTTTAATATGGTTAGCAAAACCAGAGTCAAATGCTAGTTAAAGCTTTACAGTGGGGCTGTGGCTGTGGCTCAGTGGTAGAATGCTTGCCTCACATGTGTGAGGCACTGGGTTCAATTCTCAGCACACATAAAAATAAATGAGTAAAATAAAGGTCCATCGACAAATAAAAAAAATATATAGTTTAAAAAAGACTTTAAAAAAGCATTACAGTGAACTTCTGTCTGGAAAGCCCTTATGATTGGGAATTATAATAATAATTATTATTTTGTAGTACTGGCTATTGAACCCAGTGGCACTCTACCATTAAGCTACATCCCCCCAACCATTTCTCAATATTTCTTAATATTATTTAAATATTTTTCTTAATATCTCTCAATATTTTTTAAATTTTGAGAGAGGGTCTTGCTAACATGCCCAGGCTGGCCTCCAACTTGTTGGAGGCCTCCTGCCTCAGCCTCCAGGGTAGCTGGGATTACAGGTATGCATCTCTGGGCCTAGCTGGGAATTTTATGTGTGAAGTATGGGAAGTCCTTATCAACACTACTTTCTCTAAGATCTTCATGTTCATTAATATTTCTGGCCAGACAAGAAGTGAAATTGTCTGTAACCCATAAGACTGGAATTTCATAAGTCATATAGCTATACCAGTGTCTTCTCAAATTTCATAGGTGTTCTTTTGACATGTAAAGTGTGGCCTTTCTTTTTTAACCTTGAGCTTATCCTATGACAGTAGATTCTTTGCTTAACCAAACTGTAGTCAGGCTTCCGAACCTCCTCCCTTCTGTATTCCCTTGTAAAATCCAGTTTTAGCAAAAATCCCTGCCAAGTCAGTTAGCAAGAACCCCCCACCCCATCCTCACTACCTATCCAGGATTCTCCTTCTCCACTACCCCCCAGGTAACATCTGATCACCCTGACAAGTCAGAATCCCCCAACCCCTGCCATTTCCTTAAGTCATTTCCCTCCACAGACCCCCACCCTGACCCTTGGCTATAAATCCCCTCTTGATCATGCTCTATTCAGAGCAGAGCCCACTCTGTCCCCCCCACTGCAAGACCCTGCAGCTGTGGTCCCCATACCCATTGTCATGGTCCTGAATAATGTCTGCCTACCCGTGCTTTAGTAAGTGTCACTGGATATTTTTTTTCTTTAACACATATTTAATTAAATGGAATTTTTGGCACAGTCAATATCTAATTATATTCTGGTAGTAAAAATGACAGTTTCTATATAAATAACCTACGTGATCACAGTCATTGGTTCCATCTAGAGGTGGATAAATTACACCAGCTTATATAGTTACATTTTCCCTTTTGAATTTATAGAACCATGCATTTGGGCATAAAAAATAAAGAAACTTGTGAAGGTACTTTCCTTTTATACTTGGTTGTCATCGGTTTGTAAATAAGACCCATCCATGTGAGTTATTATAATGTGCACAATTAATTGTTTTTAATGTTCTTATCCTGATGATATATTAACTTATAAGCTATATTAAGATCTCATGGATTTTCTTTTTAATTCTGAAATTTGAAAGTTCCACTTAAAGGGCATTT